CTCTTGGGGGAAGGCGATGGGGGCGGCGATGGGGCTGGCGTCGGGGTTGGTGATGGGGGTGGCTGTGGTGAGGGCCGCGAGGGCGAGGATGAGGGGGGTTGTGAAGTGCATTGTTGGTGAGGTGGGTGTGGGGTGAGTGTGTTGTTGGGGGGATTGAGTTGAGGGTGGATGAGGAGAGGGGGTTTTTTGGAGCAGTGGATTGGGGGTTTATATATATCCAGGGCTGAGGGGGTCAGGTTAGGCAGCCGGAAGGGTTTAATCACCTCCATGGATCACCTGGGTACTGATCTGCGTGGCGATGTACGAATGTTGGTAGTGAAAGAATGGGAGGCTTGATACGATTAGTGGGGTGAGGGTGTGAGATTGGTGCACGGGTGGTGAGCCTTTACACGCGATTTTATGTCAGGGGCGTTAATAATTGTAGTAAGGATGAGCACGTATTTTGTGTTCATCTAGTTGGTGTTGCAATCAATGGTATGTGTGAGGATGAGTAAATATCCCAACGACAACATATAAGCATCGTTATCCACAACATCCCGCTACCTCAGACTTCATCCTTGTCAACAAGCCTTAGTCTCATTCCTCCCTCTCCAACCCCCAATACCCTCTCACACCCACAAACCCCAGCCTAAGGGCACTTCCACCCACAGTGCTCCCTGCACGCAGCGTCGTTACGACAAACGTCGTTGTGGCAAGTAATGATACACATCCTCGGGTTAATCCAGCAGACCCAAGTCTATTTCCACCCAACACGTTAGTTCAAATCACACTATAGTAGATGATTAGATGGGAAAGGGGGAGTGTACCTTCTGGCAGTCCTCGAACTCTTTGTTGCACTTGTCGCAGATGGGGTCGCGGGCGACGAGCGGGTTGGCCGAGGTGACGGGGTTGGCGGTGGTGAGGGCCGCGATGAAGAGGAGGAGGGGGGTGGTGTACATCATTGTTGGTGGGTGGGTGTGGTTTGGTTTGGTGTGTGGTTGAGGAGATTGTGTCGATGGTGGATAGAGAGAGGGATGTTCTTGGGACAGCGCATCGTGGGTTTATATGCACCTTGGGTGGTGTTAGTCAAAGGCGCACTCTCTTCATTCTGTGTTCCAGGTAGCGATATACCAACATGGTAATGAAAGAATGCAGGTGTTGATGCAGACTAGTGGGTGGAATGGTGTTGGGGGATTGGCGCATGGGCGAGGTATTTCACGCGATCGGAGCACGTTTATGTCAGGGGCGTTAATGGTTGTATTAAGCAACAGCGCATATCCCAACAACCGACCTCGGGAATGTAAGGATGTCCTCAAGAATGCATAACTACATGTAAGGATTACTACATGTAAGGAAAAAGCACCTAAGGACGACTACATGCAAGGATGACGTAACATATAGATGAACACAACAACTCAGAAGCTCACTACCTAGGTATGCAGATTCCTACTCAACGGCTAAATACATTATTAAAATCAATATGAGAATCGGTGGCGATCTTGCTACAACCAGAGAAGACATCCCAACATGTTTCCTGGCGGGTCTGTTTACACCTTCTTTCATTCACTCCGGTTTTTGGACCTTACCCGAGCTCGTGGGCACTCTATGACTCGAAGTCAGCTGTTACTCACTTCCTCACTCTCGACACGTTCCATCAGAATCGGGTCTGGACTTCGAGTTGCACGTGGGTCACGTCAGCTGACCACGGCAATAATGGCTTCACTCTTGGCTGTCGGCGATGTAGCTTTAGGTGCTTATGGATAAAGGACCAGCAACGCCGACCGCAGATAGGTGGGAGGTGGGATTAAAAGAGGGAAGCCGTGGATTCATTGCGCTTGTTTTAAACGCTGCCGACATCCTCACAGTGCATAGACATCAGAAAGGTAGTGTCAGGCGAGGAGAGCATATTCCAGACGCGTCACTTTTGTTCAGGTACATTCACAATCACATCCAGGATTTCAGTATGTGTAAGTGTGTAGTTGACATTCATCTTTAGGTAAAGTTACCAAGGATGTATCATGCAACCAAGTCCCGTCCGTGTTCAGTTCCCCATGTTCGCAATGATGACAGGCATTCAGCCAAGACAAATTCTCATCCCAGCCTCCATGCTACCCGTTGCCTTGCATGCCTCACTGATGTTCACCCACTGCCGTGATACCCGAGATGGATATCTTGAACGGCATTGGCACCTAGGTAGTGGGGCAGATAGCATGAGGAGTGCATCCATCGCCGCAAGCAACTGTCTCGCCTGCAGGTACGTACTTGCAGATGTCCTGGCGGTTACAGTCGTTCACGCACATATACCATTCAAAGTCTTTCTGCTTGCGGTCGTTGAGTTTGTCCTTGCAGACGTCCTATTGAAGTTAGTTTCTGGGCTGAGCACCAAAGAATACGGGCTCGGGGCTGTGACAACTTACTTTCTCGCAGTGTTCAAGGCTGTAGATGTCGCACTTCTTGCACAGAACGGATTCATCCTTCTTGCCGCCGCCGGCGAGGACGAGGGTGGAGGCAGCTGCCAGAATGAGGATGGAGAGCTTCATGCTTGATAGTGGACTGATGTTGATTGAGTTGATGTGGTTGATGGGGTTGGTTTCGTGGTGAAGTGGACGTTGAGTGTTTTGCGTGTTGGTTGTTGGTGGAGGAGAGAAGAGGAGAGAGGGAGGATGGGCGGGATTATATACCCGTGGGGAGAGCAGAGAGAAGCGGAGCTCTAGGTACTTAGATGGGCAGTTGCGTAACTCGCGGTGAGGGAGAGATACCTAGATAACGCGCGGTGAGGGAGCGGCAGCTACTTCGCAGCTGCTGGAGTTGCTGCAAAGCCGAGAGTCAAAGGTCTGTGCCCAGCCAATCTCTCTCACCTGAGACAGGCCATGGGTATTGGCAAATGCGTTGTCAGTAACAGAATCTCTGAGTTACCGGATAATGGCGGTTTCGTGCATGGACAGCAGGAGCTTCTTGATTAGAGAAAAGCAGTATCATTAGCCTACGAGTAGGTGGAGAGAGTAAGACTGAAACATCTCGTTAGTCAGGAACAACATTCTCTCGGTGAAGCGTAACCAAAATCTCGTATATTCTGCTTGACCAGCCATCAATGCGCATCGTCGTCACAACTAGTCTAGTACATCCATATACCATGAGACTGCCAGCGCAAAGCATTTCGAAAGTGCATCGCCCCATTCCGGTTACCGCTCCACCCCGTCGCCTGGTCTCAATTTCCCGTAACGGTTGGATGATCATTCCCCGGGCGGAACGAGGAAGGTGGGTTTTGGGTGCTTAGGTTTCTCAATCCATCCATGACAGTTCAAGTAATCATACTGGGCACACCAGTTTGCACACCAATCGCCAATTGTGCCTGATTTGCACACATAAGTTTGGCACTGGAACGAGCACTCCTCGTTGAATATGAACGAAGGGCAACGATCCTGTGAGTTATGTCAGTGACTGGGTAAGTTTGTGTTGGAACTGGAGGACTTACGGCCATGCATCCATGATACATTTCACGGCAGGTGTCGCACGAGTGCGAGAATTCGAATTGGCTTTCTGAGGCGAGAGCGGCGGTGCTGAGTGCTGCGATGATGATGGTGGTGATCTTCATGTTGACAAAGATGTGGTAGATGGGTCTTGTGGAGGGTTTGAAGATGGGCCGGGTGGTAGTGTTGGTGTCGAGTTGAAGGGAGGGAAGACGACAATTCGATTTTTGAGTATGCACGCATTTTATATGCTGTGTCTCTAGGCGAGCATGCTGGAGTATCTGCATTGGCACTCACACGTAGTGGTAGCGTCATTGGTGCTCAACAAGAACTCGCCGTGGAGCATACATCATTGGTGTGGAGTCTCGTCTCAACAGTTATGAATGCTGGTCTTTGTCCACCTCGTTTGCTGATTACCGTTGGTGCCAGAGTTTCGCGTTCGAGGACCTCATTCGTATCACAGGGACGCTGCTCTCGTGACAACCAAGTGGATCCGCATTTAGTACCACTGTAGATTGCAGTCTGATGGAGATTTATTATTGATGGATGATGACAAGGATACTTCTAATCACCGAGATGTAATCGCAGGAGAGATGTTCTCTTGAGGCAATCGCGCATCCTACCAAACCCAATCGTTACACATCCGCAGTGCCCCTAAGACATCCATAACAATTCGCGAATGGATACCCGATAATCTCTCGTTCTCTGACCAGCCACCCCACGCCCCTACGCATGATGATGCCAATGCGGCTCCCCGAACTTATCGAAAGTCACCTTGCACTGACGCCGAACACACGGACCATAATGATTCTCCATCAACTCTACGCATTTCGCCTGACTCTCGTAGAACTGAGGAATATCGGTTGGCCTGTCCAATTCCCAGTTATAGCTGTTCACGTATCTCTGTTGGGGGTTGGGTTAGCGATCTACAAGCGTGTGGAAAAGTTGATGGGGAGAGGGGAAGGTACGTACGTCCATGCATTCGTGATATCTGACACCGCACCAGAAGCAAGCGGGAAGAAGAGACCCTAACCCTCTGGGCATGGCGTCGCTTGAGGGTTCGACATCGCTAGAGGTAGGGACGTCGTACAGGGGAGGGGCGGCGAGGGTTGCGGTGGTGAAGAGAGCGATGAGGGCGAAGGTGAACTTCATCTTGGTGACTTGTGGTGTGGATGTTGGGGTGTTCTCTTCAGATGCAGATGGATCTGCGATGAGAGCTATATATTCTTCTGCTAGTTAGTCCACATTGGTGTGCATTACCATCCTTTGACTAACATCCAGGCCATCCACCCGTACTGCGATAACGCAGAGCGAGCAGCGGGCCATTCCCAATTTCTGCAACACATGACATCCCATATACCAAGGCCTTCCGCAGAGGAGTCACCACAAGGATCAAAGATCCGGTCATACGTAGTCGATCGTAGAGGGCGTCGTGGTGAAGTATGGTAGATGGGGCGGGTCTTCTCATCTCAACAGCAATTTTTCTCCGCACCACATGAATTCTTGGGGCAAGACGACGGTATAATACCATCGGCACAAACGTGAGTATCGGCGTGTGATGCGCAAAGTCGTGGTCGGTTGAGAAGTTCCGACGAATGACAGGGATGGCATGGTGGAACTGTGGAGCTGAGCCATGATTTTACAACCAGCCAACACATTACCAGCACAGGCAGCTGAGACGCGAACATAGCCGCCTTACAGTAGCACACGGGTTCGAAAGATAATAACTATGCGAATAGAATCTGATAAGCTAAGTAAGGCAACACGTTTGAATGGTCTCGAGTTGATGAGAACATAGTCACACACCTCTCTTCCCTAATGAGTCTCACTGTCCACCCCTTCGCCGTCCGGAACACAACTTCTGATCCTCAACATTATCCAACAACATTTGGGAAGACTCCACAGGCTCTGGATTACCGTGTGTTGGCTGGCGCGTCTTATCACACACGTACCAGATACCCTCTCTAGTCTGGACCCTGAGGCCCCACCGGCGGTTCCACCTAGAACTAGACTTCGTGGGGTATACCCGCTCCATCGCATCGCTACTTGTCCCGCCCGATAGTCGGTCCAAAAAAGCCACGTTGTATGGAACAGGCGTGGGTCGCTAAAGTGGGTCCATTTGGTCACCGGGTACGACGCAAATATGGCGTTGAGGTCTGCGCTTTATTCTCTGTGGCCTGGACGCCACATCAACCACGCTCCGAAGAGAGATTTCACGACGGGCTCTCGTTGTTCATAGGCGGGCTACAACCGCCCATGCTGGCATCTTCATCGTCGACGACAGGCTTTTTGTTCACAGCTGCAGTGGGAGCTTCAGGAGCTGGGACGCTCGCTTGCGCAGTATTGCCCGAGTGTTGCTTTTTATAAGGTTGCACAGGTTTCTCCTAGTCGTGACCGTAAATACTGTCAACATCGCTATCGTAGTCGTTGATGTCGTCACCTCTCGGAGTTTGCGAGATCTGGTCTCCAGCCGCATCTTCGTCTTGCGCCGCGGGCCTACCTGGATGTGTTGTCGCACTGAGCTGTGGCAATGACTTCTGTGGTACACTCAATCCAGAAAGAGGTAATAACTGGGCCCGGAAGTCTGACGCTGACTTTGGAGTGTATCCCGCCGCAGGCTGTGTCGGGTCGTAAGCTGGAGGAGTAATCGATAAATTATTGGATCTCATGCCCGCCGAAGGCTGCATAGGCATGTACGCGGGCGAGGCAAGCGGGGAGTTTGTAGTTGATGTGCCTGCTGTAGGCTGTGTACGATGGCGGGCGGATGCCGGTTTGAGCAAGCTCCTTGCGTTCGATAGTGCAGCGTCGGGCAGCTTCATGGCTGGGTAGCTTGGACTCCGAGGAGGCGATGTTGCATTACCACTTTGACCGCGTGGTGTAGTAGGGCTTTCAAAACTCGGTACACCTGCATAAGGAGACCTGCCATTGATCTTGAGCGAAGTGACTGGGTTATACGAGCGTGCGTAACCTCCCGGTGCGAAACCACCTGCTAGCTGTGAAGGCGGTGGTGCCCTGTAGTACGAAGATGGGGAAGTAGGATTCGAGCTGAATATTGACGGCGTTTTGAGTGGCTTTTGTGTAGTCGGACGAGTCGGAAGGCCAGAACTAGCGATCGGAGATGGTTGCGCCGGAGAAGGGGTTGTCGATGTGGCGTTGGCCTCCTTCAGCTTCTGGAATACCGGAAGGTCCAAGACCTTTTCCACATCGTTCTTCTCAAAACCGGCCTCCTCCTCAGTATCAAATGAGACTGGACCTCTAAACCGGCCTTTCTTCGGAGTACTAGCTCGAGCACCTAAGCTCTCCTTCTGGGGAGTTGCTGGACCATCTGGCGTTTTCTGTGGCGCTTCTGAATCTGAATCTGAGCTATCAGAAACGTCTCGCGCTGATCTTTTGGATACTTTGTTCAGTTCATATAATTGATCCTTTTCCACTTCTTTGGCAAGCGCATCCAGTTCATCGTCATCAATTTCGCCTGACAACGCGCTACCGTCGTCAGATCCAGCCGGAGAAGGATCGCCTCGAGGTTCAGCACCTTCAGCATCTGGATCAAACCATGCCATCAGCTCCTGTGCATGCTTGTAGTCGTCGTGACTTTCTCCTCGCATTTCGTATGTGTCCATGGGAACCTCTCGGAAGACCTGACCTTGTCGCCCGGTTAGTTCGTCTAGCGATTTCACGCCGGCTGATCGATTTTCCGCATGTTCGGGGTTCTCCACGATCTTGCGGTCCTCCCGAAGTTGTACCAAGCGTGTTCTGGGTCTGATGGTTGTGAACTCATCTGGATGTTTGTATTCATGTTCAGCGTTGTCCGGGCCTTTGTTGAAGTCACTGTCCCATACTCGCTGAGTTCCTAGATCTAACGGGATTTGTGGTTTGTTATTGTTGTCAGTCTGATCAACACCGAGATTGACATTCGAAAGCCCTGCGATGAGTTCCTCATGGTCTTCAGTAGCTTCGTAGTCTTCAAGGTTGAGGTCGTCTCCGTGGGTTGGTGGCGGTGGAGCTAGATCATCTTGTGCCGGCTCTTGATCTTCTCCAAAGGCATTTGCAGCAGTGGCACGAATGATCTCTTGATCTGACACATCGTCATCCTGTTCAGCTTGCGTAGCATCCCCAAATTCCGCATTCCAGTTCGCGCTCGGGAATGGGATAAACGCATCTGGCGCATCCTTAGGAGGCTCAGGAACAATCACCGATGGCTGCTGGGTCGGTAAAGAATATTCATTGCCGGCGTTTCCGAGAAGATGGTCAAAACTTTCCCCGTCTGTCGGGTATTGTTGAGGTTCAGACATGGGTGGTGAAGTCTTGATAGGCCCATTCTGCGCCTCATACGCATCAATATCAGCGAATATGTTTTGTTCTGCCTTTTCGCCGTATTGCTCATCCTCAGGAGACAGATACAGACTTGTTGGTATTCCGCTGTGTTGTTCGAGTCCCTCGAGAAGCATCAGCTGTCTCCTCATGTCATCAGCGGTGGTGGTTAGCGTTTGCTCATTGTCGAAACCAGAGTTGGCGATCTTGTCGAAATCGATGCCGTCCAAGTTGACGTTGTCCAGATTGATGTTGTCCATATTGATATCGTCCATATTGGTATGCTCCAAATTAGTGTCGTCCAAATCGGTGTTGTACAAATCGGACATATCAACGTCTCCATCGTTTTCGGGCGCAATAGTCGTATCCAAGGCCGCGGGTGTAGTAGTCATAGGAATGTCAGCGAGGTTGGAAGCTTCAGGCTGTGCGGATGAATCGCCGTCATTATCGCCACCACTCTCGTTACCGTCGGTGCCATTATCCATCTGATCGTTGGTGTCAGCTTGATTGTCCAAAGTCTGACCGTCACCATTGTTATGACTATGAGGATCGCTCTCACCATGATGCCCCTCATCGCTCGAAGAAGACTCGTCGATCCCCTCCATAGGTCCTGAGCCAGCCGAACCCGACGGCGATGGAGGGTTCGCGCTTCCACTACCGCTCGATGGATCGAAAGGAGAGGGTATGTCGTCACTGCCACCTCCACCTCCACCTCCATTACTACCGTCGCCATTTCCACCGAAAGGACCACCAGGGCCAGGCGGCGGATCTTCACCGTCACCACCAGCTCTTCGAGCCGCAGCTTCACGCTCTCGTCTCATTATGGTCAACATACTAGGACCTCCCAGCAGCCTGTTGCGCCACTGTTCTGCGGAGTCTGGATGTTTTGGGTCTGTGGGTCGAGCGGCAGGCCGATTGTAGATAGCAGGAAGGGCGAAATGCGTCTTGAGTTCCTCTTCTGTGAACATAGGCGGCTCAGTCCTGCTGGAAGGAAGCGAGCTGAAAGGGGCCCAAGAGCGACTATTTGCTGTGCCGGGAGCTTGTTGCGAGAGTAAGTCGGGGACAGTTTCGTTGGCGCTGGCCGTGGTCGTAGCTGCTGCAGCGTCATTCTCCATGCCTTCCATTGGCACATCTGTTGTCGAAGAGGGTTCCTTGTCGGGTTCAGGAGTGGCATGCTTTGGGGCGCCAGGTATCGGCACATTGCCCGAATCATTGTCAGCTTCCTCATCACGGTTGCCATTATCGTTGTCATCGCCATCACCAGGCGCGGGTGCTCCACCAGAAACAACCTCCTTAAGAGTCAACGCCTTCTTCTGCTCAGCCTCTCTTCGCACCTCCTCGCGTTGCCTCTCAAGCGCTGCAGCAATCTCGGTATCTATAGGACTCGCTGGCTGTAGCGGAGCTGGTGTTCCCATTGTGGGACTCCCACCGAAATCGAACTCTTCTTCGTCTTCGTCTTCCTCTTCCTCTTCGTCGCTTTCTTGTACACTATCATGCTCATCGTCTTGTGTATCTTCCTCTTGCTGATCTTGCGCTGAACCAGCGGCTGGAGCTTGGTGATCTGGTTCATTGACGGGCTCCGAAGCAGCATCCTTGAGAGGCGTGTGCTTGGCGGGTGTAGCGAGTTCCGTCATCTCAATGGGAACAAATGTCATGGGTGTGTATTCTCCTTGTGTCTCAGACTCTGGCGGGTTGACTACGATGGAAGGAAGATCAAACGTGATGTCGAGCGTTGGCTCCGGCTCAGTGGTGTCTGTGGCAGCCTTCGGTACATCAGTAGGTGTTGTGACGGGAGTAGGTACAATCAGAGAATCGGAGGAAATGGCTGGTGTCGCAGGAGTAGCGATAGTAGAGGGAGTAGTCGTGGCCGGCGTAGTAGGCTCGAACAGAGGATTACGTTTGAACATGGCAGCTGGTGTGAGGGTACGCACAGATGCCGATGTATTAGCAACCACTGGTATCGCTGGTACCTCAGCCGTAGGGGCTGGAATAGCTTCAGTTGTCGTCTCTGACGGGATAGCTGCCATTGCTTCCTCGGGTTTCTCAGCTTCAACGGCAGCCGGGTGTTCTCGCTCAGTCTCTGTAGGCTGAGATGTCATCGAAGAATCCGCAGCTGGACTTTCGCTGGCGTCGTTTGACGATTGGGTCTCCTCATGCTCTACACCGCCCGCCAGGCCAGATTGCTCTAGGAAGTCTTTGTGCTCCTGCTCAGCAGCAGCCCGGGCTGCCTCGATAGCATCTTCTCTTGCCGTACGCGCCGCTTCACTGTCGAAGAGCCAAGCCATCCAGCGCTGTGGCCAAGGAAGAGATGCGGTTGTCTGTGTCCATGCATCTGCGGTGGGCGTCTCAGTATGAGCCTGAGCCTGATCCGGAGTCTCAATCGATTGCTCTCGTGTTGGCGTTCCCGCGGGAGTCTGTATAGGCGAAGCCTGTTGTTGAGTGGGCAACGCGTCTACTTCGTCTGGCAGCCCTGATAAGTCCTCATCCAAAAGATCAACTGGTTGACTGTTGCTGGGTAGCTGAGGCGCTTGCTCCGGCTGTGCGTCTGGCGGCGGATTGGGAGTATCAGGCTCTCCAATTAAGGGGTTTCTTAACTCTGACTCTCCGACGTCATTGGTAGGGATGGGAATTTGTGCTGGGGGAGGGCTTGGCGGTGCAGAGCCAGGAGCCACAACTTTATCAAGCAGATTAGGAAGCGGTTCATCGGGAGAATCTCGGGCCACGATCGGATCCGGCCGCCAGTAGGCTAGAAGTAGAAGTATGACAAGAACAGTCGCAAAGATAATGCCGTAGTCCTGGGTGCAAGCCAGAACCCCGTTTGTGCCCAGGACGTACATTATCATGAAACTAGTTGCGAATGTAAACGACGTCCGGACTTTGTGTGCCGGATATGCTTGAGCGGCCATGATCCAGCCTAAGGTACATACACTGGTAAATGCGATGATGGTTGTCGCACGCCATACCCAATGGTAAGCTAGGCCTTGGCACCAATTGTTGAGGCAGCGCACACCCGCAGAAGATACGATCGGCTTGATTTGTGCCCGGTACAACAAGCTCAGGTTCGTCGAGAGCTTTTCGATTGCTGAAGAAGTCGTTTTCTGGGTGTTTGTGATGAGACTGGAGGTAGCATTCCTAATGGACTTGGTAGCCCATGCCGACGAGAGGGTAGTGGGTATACGAGAGCTTGTAGCCCTCTCCGTCGAGGTAGCAGTGTACACATAAGAGCTCGTTGCGCGTTCCCGCGAAGTTGGAGTGAGCTTGCGAGAAGGCGTAACCCAATTCCGTAAAGCTGTCGTGGTTCCAGCAGTCCATGACGTCGACCCCTTGACTGGGGCTGGGATAGACGCAGTGCTAGTAGTAAATTCCTTCACTGTATAAGCAGCTGCGTCCGACGTCTTTTCAGTCCAAGGCTGTATGGTGTGCCAGATCGCCGTGAAAAGAGACTGAAACAATGGTATGAATGCATACGTCAATGCCCAGAGCACGAACATCATCACGACTGGGCCAGCCCATACTGGTAGCAACCCATATACTGTCCGGGGACCGAGTGTAGTTGTCGCGAGAACCCAGCGAAGACACTCGCCGACAGTGTTTGGGTGCCACGGGAAGACAGCGCAACCTCTGACGATGAGCCAGAACTTGTACCGAGCCCAAGCTTTTACAACCCGGAGTTTCGCTATGCAGATCCGAGACACTTCGATGGTGCCGTGCACGAGGGAGTCGACATAGGAGAGGCCCACAAGCTTGAGCACGACAGCAACATGACTGAAGGGTGGGGCAACGCCACCTCTGATAAGTCTATCAGCGCACGAAGATGGCTGGTCTATGTGGATAAGGAGGTATACTACTACTGCAACCACAGCGTAGTATCGTATCCAGGTTCGTGCGGCGATGACCGATCGGTATGAGCCGCCAACCACGAGGTTCAAGATGGTGAAGATGGCGTCGCGCGCCTCTTCGTCATAGATTGAAAGGACGTGTACCGCTGGCACACTGGCCAAGATAACAGCCAAGTCCTGGACGTAGACACTGAGCCAGATGACAGTTATCATAACAATGAAGGCGATGCAACAACGAATTAATGTCTCTTTGCGGTGCGGGATGACAGCAGGTGCGTTGGCGGACAGATCCTGGGTCTCAGACATGTCTTCATCCTCGCTTGAATCGCTTTCATCTTCTTCGTGGTGAACAACTTCGCGGGTCCTTCGCCCGGCGAAAAGAAGGAAATAGATCGCGATACCGACGAGGGTGGCGTACAACGCCCGGTCTATGATGAAGTGATCGGCTTGCTGCTTTCCCAGGAAGTTGGCTACTGCTTTCTGCCACGAGTTGTAGGATACGGATCCGATGCTGCGTGCGTATGCTACAGGTTTGGAGTATGGCAATGTTGGCAAGCGGAATTCCGCGTAGGCGAGATATCCAACGACAAACATATACGCATTGCGCACCATAAATGCCACCATTTCCTGAATGTCCGGGTCATCCTTATACATATGGTCGCATACGGCGAACAGAATGGATGGCACATATCCCACCATGATATCCGCCATAGTGATAGGGCTACTGTAGTAGGACGGCTTGGTCGGCTTTTGATCTGCTTGCTGTGCGACGTAATTCTCGTGAATCGCTCGTCCAAAGTCAGTCCAGCGTGAGAGTTGGGATTTGGCGAATGACGGCGAATCTCGAAGTGGTTTGCTAGCCGGCTTTTGTCTATAAGGTGTAAAGGCTGGCTTGCGTTCTCTCGGCGTAACGGCGCTGTCCTTGGTGCTGGACACAGGTGCACTGGGAAGTGTCTTACATGACGACGAGTCTTGGAATGATTTCCTAGCCGCCTTTTGTCTGTAATGTGTAAAGGCTGGCTTATGCTTTGTTGTCTTAGAGATAGTGCTCCGGGTGCTTTTGCTAGCCGCATGTTGCCTATAATGTGTAAAGGCTGACTTATGTTCTTTGAGGCCAGAGTCGATGCTCGCAGTGCTAGATAGAGGAGCACTGGAAACTGTCTTTGATCTCTGCGGAATGGTGATGGTTTCAAACGAATAGTCTATGATCTTATCGAACGACTCTGAGGAAACCGGTAATTGTTCAACCACAACTGGAGACGTGGTCCAAGAAGACACCTTGCCAACGGTGGGGGATCCAGTCGATGTGACGTCTCTGGGTGTATCGCTGATGGTCGATTCTTTCAATGCCGCGGAGGATCGCGAGCCGTGTAGAAGCCTACTCATCCGGGCTTTGAAGCCTGTATTTGTAACATTGGAAGAGGTCGTGCCCAATACTGATGGTAACTCGTGAACAGGATTGCTCTCCTCAGGAGGAGTACTCGTAGTCTTCGCTAGTGAACGCTCTGGACTCTTGCTAGATATCTCCGGCAATGCATCTCGCGGAGTACTACGAGCCGAGGAGAGTTGCGATGAGCGACTCGCTTTCGAACGAGCAGAGCTTTCCTTGACAGATTCGGAGATGTCCTGGAATGACTCGGAAGACGAGGAAGTGTCCAACACTTCAACTTTGGCTTGCTGTTCGACAGTGGAGGGTGTGTTGCAGGCCGGTGAGACAGAACTTGTGACGGTGATAATGTTAGGACGGCGAACTTTGGTAACTATCGATTCCACGATGTCGGCTGCGTTTTCGATGGTATGGGCGGGTTTTGCAACGCGACTTGTAGAAGGCCTGGGTTTCTGATACCAAACCTTGGCCTGCTCAAAGTTTGGTATGTAATGCGGCACAGCAGCAGCAACGGCACCTGCAGCGTAGATACCAGCTGCTACTTCGGGGTGTTGGTTCCACAGGTGCGCAAAGGCCTGCATTACAGCGCCAGGAAAGGCGTCCATGGTAGGCGATTTTGCCGGTGCGTCTAGAAAATGTGTGTATCGTTATCGTACTCTCGAGGGTGTGAACACATATGGTGCAATATCATAAGGGCGTGCCTTGTTGAGATGGGCGATGTATGGAGTGTCTCAAACCTGAGAAGACGGCAGACATGTAGCTGATGAGACAAAGCGTCCTCTCCAGGTCGTACAAGACAAACAGAATTTCGAGTGAAAGGCCGCCACCCTAGCATCAATGTGAATTTCACATTGCCTTTGTTCGCCGAAAGAGAAAACTTCGGCGTTGTTGTGGGAGACAAGACAATGAAACCAAGAGCGTGCACTTCAGAGACCAATGCAGCATTGCAACATGAGCGTAACTTACACTCAGACGTGGCTCGGCGCGCCAAATGGTAATCCAGTCGTCGATGTCAGGATACCGAGCCAGAATAAGGCCTTCGTCACTGGCAGAAATTATCATGCGCTCACTAGCCAAGAAGCCTGCGCATGGTCGGAAACGATGAAGTCAGGGCAAAGACCTGAAGCCAGTATCGAGAATGGATACGTCCGCCGTCACAGGCATACTGCCTCATGACGTGGGCCTGTGTGCGACGGCGATCAGTTCCCATTCCCTTCCACCGATCTGCTCGGCGCTCTGCTCTTCCACAGTCCATCCGACAAAGCATGCCTTGTAGTCATCCCAATCCGATTTGGGGCCTGCCCATATCACTTTGTCCACGCCGTCCTGACCATACTGTGCAAGGTATTCGCGTACTAGCCCAACGCGTCGTGGGTATACGAAAAGCCATGTCGTAGCCTCCGCTGCGAGTGGCTCAAGAAAACGCGTGCCGTGAACGACGCGATGGTTCGAAGAGGGCAAGTATCTGTTCGAGCTCGGCTCTACTTCAACACCAATGACATGGTACGCGTAGGGTTTGGTGATGACATAGCTTTCGAGGAGGCCGAAGCCGCTTCCGACGGATAGAGCAAGCGCGGGAGGCTGAGGAAGGAGCGAGGCGAGGTAGGCAATGAGGGTTTCGCTAAGAGCTAAACAGCATCCCGAATAGGCTGTCGGTGAAGTCGTGAGTACTGGCAGTTCCGTGACGTCTTCTACTGGGTTTGGTGCCTCATTGTCTGACGCGTCCACATCCGGCTGTATTGGTGGCAAGCGCGCCTCGAGGCCCATAATTAGCACGATTACAGTTGGTCGCGCACGCAGATGCCAACGTGCATTGAGAGCGTATGGACGCGATACAGATACAATTCGGGTTCGTTGTGATTGTGAGTGATGACAGAAGCTTGATGGTTCTTGACGCGACTAGACACGCATGGGGCTAAGCTTAGGAGCTATGGCCCATGACATATGCACATCACATGCAATGCACGAGGACGCGCCCCGCCCGCCATCACCAAGCATAGCTACAACCACCGACTCTACTGCATCTTGCGTCATCTCTTCCCACTGAAAGCTTTTGAAAGCTACGTGGCGCCACGAGAGCTGTCATGGCCCGCCTCAACCCATTCTCCTTCACGCCTGGGCCAGTCATCTTCTTTACTACCATCATCTACGTGGGCCTCTTTGCTGCCCTGCTCGTTACCCACCTGACGGTACCGAATTATCCATCCAATCCGCCAACCGGCGTCAACCTCACAGAAGCTTGGGGCGACCTCCAGCACATTACCCGCCGGTTCCACCCGTACAACAGCCACGCGAACGACGATGTACGCAAATATCTGCTTGCGCGTATCAAGGCCATCGTTACTTCAAAAGACCTAGAAAAGGGCCAAGTCGAGCTCTTCGATGACCTAACCGCAAACGCCACATTTTCATCTGGCAGCACATCTATCTACTTTGAAGGCACTAATATCATTGTTGCAATCCGCGGTTCTGATGATGACGAACCCTTCAATGGGACTGAGCGCAGTCCGGACAACGGCGGCGTACTTGTCAACGCCCATTACGACTCAGTGAGCAGCGGGTACGGTGCAACTGACGATGGCGTGGGTGTTGTGACCATACTGCAACTTCTATCCTACTTCACAGAGTCCAAGAACTGGCCCAAAAGAACCGTGGTACTGCTACTTAACAACGGCGAAGAGGATTATCTCAACGGCGCCAAAGCTTTCATGCGAAACCCGATTTCTCAGGTCGCCCATACGTTCGTAAACCTCGAGGGAGCTGGAGCTGGCGGCAGAGCTACCTTGTTCAGGAGCACCGATACCGAAGTCACCCGCTACTACAAAAAGTCTAAATATCCTTTCGGAACAGTCGTAAGCGGAGATGGCTTCAAAAAGGGTTATATTCGAAGTGAAACTGATTACAAAGTCTTCCACGGCGAACTTGGGCTACGCGGCCTTGACATTGCGTTCATGGAGCCCAGGGCCAGATACCACACAGTGGAAGACTCCACACGTGAAACTTCGATGAACTCGCTCTGGCACATGCTTTCAGCAGCTCTGGCCTCAACATCCGGATTGGCTTCCATCACCAGTGACGAATTCAGTGGCTCAGAAAGCCTCGATAACGGTAGAGTCAATGCCGGAACTGGCAGTGACGGCGTGTGGTTTGACCTCTTCGGCAAGGTGTTTGTCGTTTTCAAGCTACATACCCTTTTCGCTTTGTGCGTCACTTTGCTGGTTGTGGCACCTCTTACGTTGATTGGTCTCACCTTTGGGCTCTCCAAGGCTGACAAGAACTACCTATTGGCGCGCAAAGCCTACATCCATTCCTCTGACGACGACAATCCAGTACCTTTATACGGCTGGCGCGGCTTCTTCCGCTTCCCCATCATCTTTGTCACAGCAAGTGCTGTTGTGGTCGCATTGGCTTATCTCATAGTCCGGTTCAATCCTTTCATTGTTTACAGCAGCCCATTCGCCGTCTGGAGGTGAGTCGCTCATGCTGCTACTCTGTTCACAACTAACAATATCAACAGCATGATGCTCTCAGCCTGGGTATTCATCGCTTGGTTCCTTGCGCGAGGGGCCGATGCTATGCGACCATCCGCACTCCAGCGCATGTACGCTTTGATCTGGCTTTTCATCGGCTCCTTCGTGCTTCTGACAATCATCACGGTCTTCGTGAACGACTATCAGGTTGCCGCTGGTTATTCTGCGATGTTCTACTTCGCAGCTGTGTTCGCGGCAATCCTCCTCTCCTACCTCGAACTCTTCCTCGCTCCAACCAAATCTGCGTATGCCCGTCATTTCGAGCAAGAGGACGAATCCCGGCGCAACTCAGAGTCCGCAAGCAGGCCCCTTACAGGCAGCACCACCGCTGCACGGTCCGATGATCGCCCCGTGGGAGACGATGACGCCACCGAGACCACCTCACTTTTACGCGGCGATCGACGTGGATTCGCAAGATACGGCGGCAACAGGCGAGACTCCATCAGCGAGAGCGGCGAGGATCATGCTCAAGGGCCCCGGCGAATAGATCTCGGCAACGTGTATCCTGGAGAACAAGAGTGGAGCGGCAAATTACCGAGCTGGATCTGGGTCGTTCAACTGCTACTCTTAGCGCCAATCGTGATCATCCTTGTCGGACAGGTCGCTCTACTCCTCACGTCGGCCCTATACCAGACGCCATCCGATGGTAACTCGCCTCTGTTTATTTACCTCGCCTTCGCAGCGCTTACTGTGTTGTTGCTCGCACCCACCGGCCCGTTTATTCACCGCTTCACATATCACATCCCCACCTTTTTATTCCTGATATGCGTCGCAACCGTCATCTACAACCTTGTTGCGTTCCCTTTCAGCAGGGATCATCGCTTAAAGGTGTACTTCGTCCAGCGGGTTAATTGCGAGACTGGTCATAACGTCGTGTCCCTGACCGGCTTGGACGGCTATGTGCAACGCATTGTTGGCGAGTTACCCAGTGCGCAAGGCCAGCAGCTTGATTGCACGACGCCCGAGGTTGCGACGCGTAAGGAACTAAAGCAGTGCCAGTGGCAGGGTCTTGACGCTAAAGTCGTCCCAAAGACAGCGCAAGTCGCGCCATTTGACAACAACACGTACATTGCCAGCTGGCTCAATTACTCGATCCATAAGGGCAATCACTCAAACAAGGCGACGATACGCGTTGTTGGGCATAACACCCGAGCATGTCGCGTGCTTTTCGACTCGCCCATCACAGCGTTGAGCGTCGACGGCGCCGTTTCAGATCCTCGCTTCAAACCCGTCGGTGGGGACGGCGCCCGGGAAGTGCGACTGTGGCATCGCGAATTTGGGCAGCCCTGGAACGTTAGCGTGACTTGGAACGCCAAAGAACAATCGAAACTTTCTGGAAGGGTCGTGTGCATGTGGTCGGACGCCAACACAGGCGACATCCCTGCTTTCGACGAGGTGCAGCACTATCTGCCTGTGTGGGCAATTCCCTCCAAGATTAGCGATGGCTTGGTCGAGGGCTTCAAGCAGTTCGAAATCTAGGGCAGCGGGCTTTAGTTGCGGGGATCCCTGCATGTCTCCGTTACTTTTGCTGCGATATCCATCACGCAAGCAGTCGAGCACGGCGTCACAGCTCACATGCAACCCCTCACTTCAATTGCTCATTTATGCGAGCTTCCCCTTTATCTCATCAATGCCCCAACTTGTTCACGATCCATTTGTTACTGTTCTTTTTGGAGTTTGGCGGTATCATGTTCACGGCCATTGCATCTTGTACACCCAACGTATAGCATCTTGACGTCAACTTAATGAACTCTATTATCACGACGCCCAAGGCCACCACCCCTCGCTTCACTCTTCGACTCGCCTAATTCCAGCCTCTCGATTCCACGTCTCACCACGAACCGTTCGACAGCTTGGCTCGTACCAGAATGCTGAGAGCGTTTGACGGAGCCCAAGACACTTCACAACGTTATCCGCTACCTACCGACGCAGGATTTACCCCTGCTTTGACCCGAAGGTTTCTTTTAGCTGCGGGAGAGACTATATCATCATCTATAGAGCCATCGACTTTGTCATCGACGTTGACGACTACTCTTGGTTCGATAGCTACTCCAGCTGTCTGTACCGCCAGTCAC